TGTATAATTTTCCTTGAGATGTCCATAAATGGGCGGATCCTTTTATGTGCATGCAGCACAGTATCCCTCACCACCACTATCACCACGTCTCCAAGTTGGCCAAACATTCTGTAATGTGCAACCTGTCAGAAGCTAACCCTGATTTGGACCCCTAACCCAAGCTTGAACTCCATCTTGAAAACCCCTACAAAACGATATTGAATCAGGGCTCGAAGGTTACATTCCTCACTATTAAGTTTTGGGAAGGAGATGCATGAGGTAGGCTGCACCTGGAAACTGGCATACAGGAGGCAAACAGGTGTGAAGGTTTAACGAGGGGAGGAAAAGGCTTAACAACCCGGTACAGTATACTGTGTCACTGAGCTCGGGTAATGCACACACGGTTAACATCCTGGCCCTCAGGAAAGGAAAAGCCCACTTGTATTGTGCGTGGAAAAGCAAATAGATGTAACATGTAGGGACATGACTATAAATAAAGACTCTTTGAATGGACGTTGACATACTTAGCCCTTGGAGCTCTCTGTGTGCTTTTTTTTTTTTTTTTTTAATTACAAGCAGAGATCTATGTCACCATGATTTATGAGGCGACCACTCCGCTTCGGGAAGCAGACAAAAAGTGGGTCACAAAAATGAGATCCATCGTACGATCTGACAGTGTTTGTGCAAAATGTGCTTTGTTTAATGCTTGGCTTGAAAACCTCTTTTGAAAGTCGAAGGCTGGCTTGAAAACCTAATTTGAAACACTAAAACAGCTTCAACCCTTATCTTTAACCCTAAACCTGCCTTCAAACCTCAAATTGAAACCCTAACTTTGCATCAAACCCTAATTTGAAACCTTAACCCATTTTGAAACCCTAATTTTAAATCCTAACCTGGATTTGAAATCCTACTTTGAAATTGTAACTGTATCTTGAATCACTGCACCAATCACTGTGAGGCCGACATGCTAACCAGTAGTCCACCGTGCTACTGAGAAACCCTAACCCAGCAGCGTATTTAAATGTTCCCAACAATCGTTCCTGCGTTTGAAGCCCAGCAGCAATTTGGGTGTGAAGCATGTGCAGAAGAATAATCTTTTTCAAATGATCCTTCGCTGTGGCAACGAGGTGCAAAAGACTCCTAATGCGTGTGAAATGTTCCCCTTTTAAAGTGCCATCAATATTCATGTGTTGTGATGTCGAAAGCACGCGAGGAGGAGGAGGTGGAGGAGCTGTGGGACGTTAGATCCAGGGTCAAATGGAGGTCACAGCAGGGAAGCTTTCCAACCCACCCCCAACCTCCTTTTCTTGTTGCAGAAAGCGGGATACCACTTACTGCAGCCCTATGGAGTCTGCCGTGTGTGTGTGTGTGTGTGTGTGTGTGTGTGGGGGGGACGGCAATGAATGCTGACTGCGGCTAATTGAGCGTCAACGCGTACAAACGAAGCTCATTAATGCGTTTTGTGCAATTATTAATATGTTATGAAGCTGTAAACACTGCCACATTCAGCTTTTACGCCAGCCGCTTTTCCTTTGGGCCTTTTGAGCCTATTGCATCTTATTTCCTCGCGTTACTGCCGGCAGACACAAAGAATGCACCTGGCTTTCCAAGCCACGAGTCGGCCCACCAGATTCAGGCCTGAGGAAAGACATGGAGAGAGTCCAGCTGGTCCATACAAAAGTCAAACCGTTGGCTGGTTGCAGCTGGTCCAGATTACAACCAACCACAGGTTCACTTCTCTATGCCTGGTAGAGCAGGCGTTATTTCTTCCATCTCTGGACGAATTTAATCACCTGGAGTAATCAGTGAAATGTAGATTTTGATTGTTTTTATTATTTTTAATTATGATTATTATTGCTATTAATTGCTAATTGTTTTAATTTTACAATTTTGCCCACACCCTTCAAAAAAGGGGGACAGGGATGAGGGTGGTCTGACAAATGCAAAATGCTGCTCACTGACACATCTGCAATTTTTTTTTTTAAATATACTACCTTAACCTGATTTCCAACTAAGCAGAAAATAGATTGGTTGACATTGTATGTATTTATTTATTTTCATTTTAAATGAACATGTAATATTATTAACACTATTTTGAAAGTTGAACTTAATCTGTTCTTGAACCCCTAATTTGAAATGCTAATTTGAACCTCATTTGAAACCCTAATTTGAAGCTCTAAACTTCTTGTAAAATCCTCATTTGAACCCTAACTCTAGTTTGAAATGCCTATTTGAAACCTTAACTTAAACTCAAATTTGAAACCGTAACCCAATTTGAAACCCTAACATTAACCCATGTTTGAATTAGGGATAGGCCCTGAAAATATAAGTCCCCAAAATAAAAGCATCAAAACATTGAGAAAAAAAAAAGAAATATGCCAATCTGCAGGTTCTACCGTAATCGGTATTGGCCCTGCAAAAACTATATTGGTCTATCTTTACTTTGAAACCGCAAACAGGCTTGAAACCTGAATTTGAACCCCTACCTTGAAGCCGTAATTTGAATCCCCAACCCAAACTTGAACTTTGAAGCCCCAACCCTGTCTTGTAACACTTCTAACCCTCGTTTGAAGTACACATTTGAAGCCCTAACATAATATGAAACCTCAAACCCCTATTTCAACCCCCAAACCAGGCTTCAAACAAAAGGATGTGGGCAGAGCCTTTGACTGTCCGTGCAACACCAAACCCCAAACAACTCCAAAGGGCTCCAATCTTACTGCTCACACACAATCCCCGGTCCAGCGCACCTCCACCCTCCCGACTTGCCCAATGGTCCATTTCGAATAGTTTCCACATTACTCGTTTTTTTTTCTGTCACCTGCTCACTGACACATCTGCAATTTTTTTTTTAAATATACTACCTTAACCTGATTTCCAACTAAGCAGAAAATAGATTGGTTGACATTGTATGTATTTATTTATTTTCATTTTAAATGAACATGTAATATTATTAACACTATTTTGAAAGTTGAACTTAATCTGTTCTTGAACCCCTAATTTGAAATGCTAATTTGAACCTCATTTGAAACCCTAATTTGAAGCTCTAAACTTCTTGTAAAATCCTCATTTGAACCCTAACTCTAGTTTGAAATGCCTATTTGAAACCTTAACTTAAACTCAAATTTGAAACCGTAACCCAATTTGAAACCCTAACATTAACCCATGTTTGAATTAGGGATAGGCCCTGAAAATATAAGTCCCCAAAATAAAAGCATCAAAACATTGAGAAAAAAAAAAGAAATATGCCAATCTGCAGGTTCTACCGTAATCGGTATTCGCCCTGCAAAAACCATATTGGTCTATCTTTACTTTGAAACCGCAAACAGGCTTGAAACCTGAATTTAAACCCCTACCTTGAAGCCGTAATTTGAATCCCCAACCCAAACTTGAACTTTGAAGCCCCAACCCTGTCTTGTAACACTTCTAACCCTCGTTTGAAGTACACATTTGAAGCCCTAACATAATATGAAACCTCAAACCCCTATTTCAACCCCCAAACCAGGCTTCAAACAAAAGGATGTGGGCAGAGCCTTTGACTGTCCGTGCAACACCAAACCCCAAACAACTCCAAAGGGCTCCAATCTTACTGCTCACACACAATCCCCGGTCCAGCGCACCTCCACCCTCCCGACTTGCCCAATGGTCCATTTCGAATAGTTTCCACATTACTCGTTTTTTTTTCTGTCACCCTTTTCATGCTCTTTGTGATCAAACCAAGGAACAAAGAGCAGATAAGAGTGAAGAATGTACCCTCTGCCATTGTGACTGTTGGATGCCTGTCGAATCTCAATGCAGCACGTAGCTACTGAGAGCTTTTGTACTCCTTTATGCCTCCCCCTTGTCCTTTTCTTCCTATTTTTTTTTTAAACTCCATTAAAACTGTTCACCTTACAGAGGCAAAGTTTAGGGCCTCTATTCAAGCGAGACGCTTTTGTGCCCGCACATAAGGTTGCACGGAGGTGGTGCTAGAGGGGAGACCTCGCCTCTCCTCCACCTCCAACCCCCCCCCCCCCCCCCCCCCCCCCAGCACTCTGACATTCTAGCACCTGTTTCCCGTCACAAAACCATTAATTTATCACTGAATTATTAAGCGGGGGAAGCGCACACAATACGTCTGGCGCTCTTTTGACACCGAGGGGCAGGGAATGGTTGCCTTGGCAACAGGAGCGGTGGTAAAGGTGGCGAGACAGCGGGGAAAAGAAGGAGGGAAGTCATCATCGTCTCAAAATTGAATTTATCCCCCTGATCTCCTCGCGATTAAAATGACGGGATCAATAAAAGACGCGGCAATAGCGGGGAGACCCCTCATGTGATAGCGCTTAGATCAGGCGAGCCCACAGTTTTTTTTTGCATGAAAGCTACTTATAAAATGACCCAAAAAGGCAAAATTATATCAAATGTATCCATTTATTTATTTATTGATAAATATACTTACAATCCATCCATCCATTTTCTGAACCGCTTTATTCTCACAAGGGTCGCGGGGGGGTTGGAGCCTATCCCAGCTGTCTTCGGGCAGTAGGCGGGGGACACCCTGAACCGGTTGCCAGCCACTACATGTACTATATGAAGTTCAGTTTTATTTTCTCGGCGGCTGACTGAAAGAGAACAAATAGACCTGCTGTCAGTTGTCCTACGCACTCAAAAGTTGATCAAATTGTTCTGGCCTTTACTGCAGCAGCCGTTTTTAGAAGTGACGTGACGATAAAAGTATCCAGGTGACACTGTTTTCCAAAGTGGGGTTTTTTTTCCCCTTTAGAGACACCAGGCGTTATTGCTTTGTCTCTAATAGCATTCAATGAAACAATGTTTGTTGGGGATGGGGAGTGGATCAATACGGAATGTGATTGTTCCCGCTTATCGTCTCCTCCAGAGACTCTCACCGTGAAAGCTATCGTCTGCGCTCTCTGCCTGGTGTCCGAGTGGTTTGAGGGCAGCGCGGAAAATGCTGAGCTGTATGTTTAAAAATGGAAGACTTACAGCCATTGCTTTTTTTTCCCCATCTGGTGTGTTTGTAGATGAAGCTGTGGAACAAGTACAAGGTGACTAGCATCCCGTCGCTCGTGTTCGTGGACGCCGCCACGGGGAAGGTGGTGTGTCGGAACGGTCTGCTGGTAGTCAGGGATGATCCCAAAGGTGAGCCTTCGCGGTGGCGTAAACAAAATGGACACGATGACGTGGTGTGAGGAAAGGAGACTCGCTGTAAAGCCAACTGCGCATCGGCCCACAGTTGTGCCGTGATATTGCTCACGTCATTCACACTGTACGTCATTTTCAAGATTGTGTGTCGCTCACTGCTGTCAGGGTGTCGTTTTTCCCTTTTGCCTCTTTTCAGGCTTTTGTCGCCCGCTTTTCGCCCGCCTTCCTATGTGCTTCTTTTCGAGATTTTATGTGGCACACCGCTGTCACTCTTGATCAATTTCTCTCTGTGCTTCTTTATTTGTTATGTTTTTGCAGCAATTGTGTGCGCTATACTGCAGTAAATTTGTCAAATGTGGGCATATAAAGACCATCAAGACTCTTTTGTGATTCAGGGTTATGTAAATAACTTTGACTTGACGTGTCTAACTTCTCCTACTCTGTGACAATCTTTTTCCATTTTTTTTTTTTTTTTTTTTTATGGTACATTCATGGTACAGTGCCACTGCTACTTTTTTAGAATTTTGTGCTGTTAGGCTGCGTCATTTCTGTGCTTATTTTTCTGTTTCAGTCACACTGTCACTTTGCACTTCTTTTTCGGGATTGTGTGTCACACGCCACTGTCACTCTTTCATTTCTCTCTGTGCTTATTTTTCAGGTTTTGTTTTGAGCTAGCTTTTTTTCAAGCCGTCGCTCTGTGCTTCTTTTGTGTGGCACACTGCTGTCGCGCTATGTCACTTCTCTCATTTTAAGCTTCTTTTGTGTAGCTGATTTTTGATATGCTGGCACACGGCTGCTGATTTTATGGACTTTTGTGTTGTATGCCGTCTCATGTTGCTGTCAGGCTTTGTCATATCTGTGCTTCTTTTTCAAGATTTTTTTGTGGGATACTCCTATCATACTTTAAACACTTCTCTACACTTAGTGTTTCCTTGTACCATTCGGTGCTTCATTTTCAGTGCAGCACACATGCTGGCACTCTTTTTTCACCTTTTGTGTAGCACTTTCTAGTCATGTTTCTTTGACTTTTTTTGTACTTTTTGTACTTCTTTTTCAGGCTTAGGTGGAACACAGTGCTGTCACATTTTGCTAATTTTTAGGCTTCCGTAATGCACATTCCAGTCATGCTTTTTTACGTTTTTCTTTCTGTGCTTCTTTTTCAGGCTTTGTGTAGTATGTGGCTATTGCGCTTAGTCACTCTCTCACTTTGAGCCTCTTTATCAGGCTTTATTAATGCACACTCCTGTCACATTTGTAACCTTCTTATTCTGTGCTTCTTTTTCAAGATTTTGTGTAGCTCACTGCTGTTACAGTAGCATTCTGCTTCTATGTAGCATGCACTCCCGTTCTTTTTTGGGGCTTTTGTGTAGCACACAGCTGTTACATTTTGTCACTTTCCTCACCATGTCCCTCTTTTTCAGGCTTCTGTTTAGGCCACTTCTGTATGGAGTATTGAGATTAACGTAACGTTTACATTCTTTTCCATGCTGTCGCAACTTTAGTGGTGTACGAAAAAGCGATTAGTCATGTGAGAGAATTGTATGCTGAAGGCGACATAGTAGAGAACCAGAGTGGATTTCTTTTCTTTGTGACAGCTTTTACGGGCTGGCTAATGAAAGCCAGAACAACCCTGCGGTGCTCGTTGCATGATTCATTAACTGTGCTTGCAAACGAATTGGCGATGGAGAAGACATAAATCTCCTGTTGCAGAACAACAACATACAATTCACTTGTATTACGGTACTCATTATGTATGTATTTTTATTTTAAGGGGATTGTTTTTCTTGTTTTATGTTTTTATTTGCTTCACGGGATTTTTGTTCACATTTATTGCCATTTTTGTGTACTTAATTCATATCAGTTTACTTAAAAGAAGTTTACATTTTTATATATATATATATATATATATATATATATATATATGCGTGCATGTGTGTGTTGTGCACCAGTGATGACAAGTGGGGAAAAGAAATGTGAAAGTGAAAATTTACACAAGCAGGCATAATTGGATAATAATGTCTCAGTGAAGCAGCACGTGGCTCATTTTTGCCTTCACTGCTTCTGTTTCTCATGATCGGTGTAAAAGCAACTGGTGAGTTCGTGAGAAGACCTTGACGTCCATTCTGTGCGTTTTCTCGATAAAATCTCTCCCCTTTTTTAAGCAAGGTGTAAAATACAAAGAAACTTATGGTTTTGCTTCTTGGTGTTTTCCAGTAAACGTTTGTCACCACAACGCAGCTAAAGTGTAGTAAGTGTGACTGTAGCTGGCGAGTTCGTCAGAAATCCTTGTACACTGCATTCTTTGTGCTGTTGCTCCTCATTAAGAGGAATAAACTAGGAAGGCAACTCTTGGCATTTTGCCATATACGATGTATGTTTGTCATCATGAGTTTATTATAAGTCGCCGTGTGACAGCAGCTGCCATGTTAGCCAATGTGGGTGTATCGTGGCGAGCGTTCTCCGCATGGATGAAAAGACTGACTGGAGTGCCTGCAGCCAGTGTGAAAGATGGAGAGTGTGCGAGTGGCCTTTTTAGCCTCAGGACCACAATGAGCGGCTGTTGAGCCGCAGACGTGTCATTCCTGCCTAATGAAGCCCCGTGCATAAAGCCGCCATTATGGAGCGGCTGTACAGGCCGTTATTTAGGATTACCTCCGCTGCCCGCCCTCCCCGGATAACTCCACTTTCTGCTGCCCGGGGCAAACAATGAAGACACCATGAAAAGGAAGTGAAAGTGTGAACCAGCACTGGAAGGAAGGAGAGGATGAACTGCATCATATCTCTGTTTGCATGGACTGACAGCACTCTCCAAGACAGTTTGATTAGACGTAGCTAGATCAAATTTGATGGGCATGTAAGGCACAAAAAACGTCTTCAGAAGCCATGCATGAAAACACAGTGGAAGTCAGCCATTTTGACTCGAAGGGTCCAATTTAGGCTCAATTTCTGTTTCCAATGGTCCTTTGGATACTATCTTGCCCTAAAAAATGTGTTTGATTGCTAGCATTTGAAGCATATGTACTAGAAAAATTCTCAACACTAAATGTAGATTGAGTTTTCATCATTGTGTCATGGCAGGTCAAACAACTTCGCCCGCTCATGTTTTTTTTGTTGTTGTTTTTCAATTCAAACCCCAAAGCTATTTTGACTTTGTGACATCAAATTTGGGATGTGTGTTTATCATTATTAGACATTGTTATGAGTATTTGTGGTGTCAAACAAATCCGTTGAAGATGCTGTTTGATGCTTATGAAATGCATCTGTTACGTTCATCAAAAACTAAAAATTGCCCTCGATGGTTTCAAAAACACATTAGGTTCTGATCTCAAAGTTTCAAAAAACAACACCCATGTCAGGTTCATTCGAAACTCTCAACAGATTTCAACATAATCTGTGGTTGCTTCTTCAAAGACAGGAAATAGTTTTGGATGGCGATGGAAACATGTTCATTAAATGAATCCTCAAAGACTCTCCATAGTCTTTGTTTTTAGTTATCTTCCAGACTTTCCAGATATCCAAATAACTTCTAAAGTCTTTCGCACAGTGTGGAAATGTGCAATTGCGGAGTTCCTAAGACTTTCTCCATTGTATTGGGTATTGCTCATACCCACTTAAGTACAACTGTTTCACCTGATGATCGTGGAATTGGCACTTGTTTTAACATGTCCCCTCTCCAAAAGACTTTTCCAAAATCAAAACATTTCTCCTTCTTAGTTCCTACGACTTCACCACAGTTCTGAGCATTGGTCAATCTGTTTGCGTGCAGTTGTTTTCATCGAAGCTCTTGAAATCTGCACTTGTTTAGAAAAGGCTCCAAAAGACTTAACCCCAACTTGGCGCATACATCTGTAATTGTCCTTCTTGGGTCTTCAGCAAATTCCTTGGAATTTTCCTGTTGTTCTGCGTATTGGTCGACACTTAAGTTGCAATACAATACGTGCGATCATTTCCCCAGCATAGAATGCAGCAAATGCTGTTTTTATACTGGCAAAGAGCAAACTTCCACCTGCAGTCACTCATGATCACGAGAAGGAAGTTCAATAAAAAACAAATTGGGCCGGATATTCATTGAACTGATTTTTACATTTGAAAAATTAAAGAAAAAAATTGTGAGATTGTCACATTCAACTGAGGAAAAACTTCTATTTTCTCACATTCAGATGTCTTTACAAGTTTAAATTTTAAAATGCTCTTCTGGATTTTCATCAAACTGTGTAATGTTTAAAATGCAAAACTACAAGTGTGATCGTGTAACATTGTGATTTCTATGTAATTTTAAATGTAAAAATAGTATGCCAAATATTTATTCAACTTTTTACAAAAAAATAAAAATAAAAAGTAATACTATGCTATCGCTAAACTGTGCTGAAAAAAAATACCAATGACATCATTGTTTAATCAACTTCAATTTTGCAGTTGACTACAAATAGTCTTTTGTCATTCAAACTTTAGCAGCAGAGGTTCCAAATGGACCTCTAGGCCGGTATTTGGACAACACCTGCCTTATATTGTTCCCGCCCTCCTCTTCACAGGCCTGGAGTTCCCCTGGGGGCCCAAACCGTTTGCAGAGGTAGTGGCGGGGCCTCTGCTCAGGAGCAACAGGCAGTCGACAGACAGCGCTTCCCTGGAGGGCTACTATGTGGGGGTCTACTTCTCGGCGCACTGGGTGAGCGTCTTTTATGACGTGACATTATTGACTCTCGCCTCAGAGGCGGCGAGTGAGGTTTGCATGAAGTAAAGATCTTCGCCATGGTTGACTCTACCCCTACTTTCATCTTTTGTCATATTGTTTCATCGTCCATGGAGTTTGAAAAAAGTCACAAGACTTATTTGGCAAAGGAGAACAAAATATGCATACCCATGTTTGAATTTGGGGATTAAACGTGAGAAATGTGCAGGAAAATAAATACTCAAATACAGAAACATGAAAATGCTCCTAAAGTACAGTCATGATTTATTTTTTTATACTCTCATCCCAGCACTGGCGCAAACGCTGGTCCCAGTTGACCCTGAAGCTGCCAATAGCTTCTATTGAGGGGTTGGCTCGACCAAACCACAATCACGCATGACACTGAGATGGACCAGAAAGAGAATTGTTTTGCACCACAATACCACCAAGCACCAAGTCATTAGGACTGCAAAGGCAGAAAACGGGTCTGTCGTACGCCGTAAAGCGCCCCCAAGCGATGAAAAATGGAATTGCATTTTGGGGCAAAGGTTTGAATATTCCTTGAAGGGAAAAAACATCATATTACAATATTGTAGGAGTAATATAAGGAGAGTAAAATAATCAGTCAGAATCGTGAAAAATGGCATTGCATTTTTGGGGCAAAGGGTTGAGTATTTGGGCCTTGAAGGGGAAAAAAACATCATTACAGTATATTACAATGTTGTAGTAGTAATATAAGGAGAGTAAAATAATCAGTCAGAATCTTGCATTTATTAACACTTTAAAAAAATTCACAATTAGGACTAAAGTCGGACTTTACAAAACGAAACAAATTTCACAATTACACACCTTTTCTTGAAAAAATATACAACTGTAGTGTGAAACGAAAAAAAATTCTTCTCAACACAATTAGTACTAAAGTCGGGCTTTACAAAACAAATTTCACAATTACACACATTTTCTTGAAAAAATATACAACTGTAGTGTGAAACGTTTTCAACTATTTTTTTTTTCCATCCATCCATTTTCTACCGCTTCTCGGGGGTCGGGTCCTTCAGACTTCCCTTTGCCCAGCCACTTCTTCTAAGGGAGAGTCTGGACACCCTGCGGAGAAAACTCATTTCGGCCTCTTGTATTTCTATATTTTTTTTCCTTCATTGTAAATAATAACAAAAGTAACTTTTCTCAATCGATTACAACATTTTTCTTGAATAAATATGAGTACTACCAGGAAAAAGATGCTTCATCTTCATGATATACCTGTAATACATTGCTTTTGTCTTAGAAAAAAAATGACCACTTTGTCACAGGAATAATAAAGTCTACCTATTATCTGTTTTGATGTCTTTTAGTGTCCACCGTGCCGTAGTTTGACACGAGTGTTGGTGGAGTCGTATCGCACGGTCAAAGAGTCGGGTCAAAAGTTTGAGATTGTGTTTGTCAGCGCTGACAGGTAAGCTACCATTATACAGTGTACTGGATTAGGTCTATTTCTTGAGAGACACACATGTCTAATTTATCCTTCCTGTAGGTCTGAGGAGTCTTTCCAGCAGTACTTCAGCGAGATGCCCTGGTTGGCGGTGCCATATTCAGACGAGGCTCGACGCTCGCGACTCAACAGGCTGTATGGGATTCAAGGTGACAATGTGCTCCTCTCGCAGTGCATTCAGACACACGGTATAGAAACACAGTGTCCCAATTTAGGAGGTTTTTGTTGTTGTTTGTTTTGTTTGGGTTTTTTTTTTGGGGGGGTGGGCGAGTAACGATCGGTCTATTTTTTTTTTTGTTGTTGTTTTTCTCTTTGGGTTGCACATGAAAATTTGACCTACTTACGCGCTTTTTTTTCTTACCATGATGTCAATTCTGCACGCCTCCAAGCGTGCTGTGTGCAGTTTAGAAGATGTCCAACAGTTTTCGAAAGGAAAGGAACCAAATGTTGGCTTGAAGCTGTTTATTGCCATTCCCAGTTGAAGTTTACTGTCAAAGTAAACATAAAATAGAGAATTGTACGTTGTGTATTTAACCAAGCCACTTTACTTTGTCTTACATAAGCAACAGTACTGTTGCTTCAAACAACTGGTATGTGAACACAAATGGTGCAGCAACATGTACCGTATAGACCGAGCATACACACAGACATAAATTGAACTGCGCAACACCACATTTTAGTCAGAGATAGCTTTTTGTGTCCCTAAATGTATTTTCTATGCTGATTTAAAAGAAATACATCTTTGCTTTTTTTTCTAGCACCTCAAATTTTTTAAATATTTTCATTTATTTTTCAAGCAACTTGAAAGTGTTTACAATACAAAATATATGTGCTTGCTTGATTCATTTTAGCGTGTTTAATGGATTATAGTTGAAGAATTTTAAAGTGGCCCTTGCATCCTTGCATTTTTATGGATGCGGCCCTCAAATGAGAAAGTTTGGACACCCCTGCTGTAAATTAACAGAATGGCTATAAACAATCCATAGTCAGAAAATTTGCATCTGGAACATCTTTTTTTCTGCCTTAGTAGCTCTTTTCTGAATTGCTTAGCTACTGTAGAATCCACACTTATATTTTCACGGTTGACATCCTAAATTGTCAGGATTGTATCTCTCATTGCAGCTTGGAATTTTTATGAGCTCCTGGATTTGCTCTGTCATCCAGTTTGTGCTACTATGCTCCCCACTCTTCCTCTTCATTCCCTGACTCAAATAAGTGAAGCTAGGGGGGGGTTGCGAGGTTTTTCCTGCAAAGCATGTGAGGAATGCACAGAGATGTCAACGCTGCAACCCCCACCCCCCTCCCTCTGCCACTCCCACCTGCTTGACCTACTCTGGCCTGCCTGGAGTCCACATGAGCAGACAAGATTTTCATAAGATGAACAGTGACACTCGCCCCGGCTGTGCTCCTGCATCACGGCTGTTTCTGATAAGGCTGCTCAGATTATGATCACAAGATCCACAAGCAGCCCTACGGGGAACAATGTGTGTAGGCAGGGAGTCGACTGTTTCTAACTCCATGGATTATTTGATTACTTCTGTTGTGCAAAAGAATTGCAGAGGAGTGATTGCATTGACAGTCATTTTAGGACACGACACGTCTGTTGTGCACATGACTGAGTGTTCCATTCCCCCTTTTCTTTTTTCACTTTGTGGGTTTTTTTCTAGTTGACTGCGGAATAGTTGGAGGTACTAAAATGATCACCCCAAGTCAGCTAGGATAGGCTCCAGTCACCCGCGATCCTACTGAGGATAAGCAGGATAGAAATGGTCGGATCCAAAATACACTTGACCTTTGCCTTCTTCTGTGACATAAAATCAACAGAGCAAAAAGCATGCCTACTTTGGGGGTGGTCTAATTTTAAGATGTATACTGTCAAAAACACAATTTGTATTTTGGGGGCTCAAATAGTAATGTAAGTTAGAAAAACTTGAAAATAAAAATGTAAGTTGGGGTTCCGTAAAAGGGACAACTGTTAAGTAAATTCTTATTTCTTTGTTGTGAAAATAAAACAAAACAAAACCTTCATACAGCAAAACAAAACAAAACAAACAAAAAAAAACAGAATGGCGTCCAGACAATCATCCACTTCCTGTCCTGTTCTCTTTTAATCCCCTTTATCACTCCTCAGGTATTCCCACCTTGATCCTGTTGGACACCGAGGGTCATGTGATCACGCGACAGGGCCGCGTGGAGGTGCTGAACGACCCGGAATGCCGGCTTTTCCCGTGGCACCCTCGCCCCGTGCTGGAGCTCAGCGAGGCCAACGCTGCGCAACTCCACGAGGGACCCTGCCTCGTCCTCTTTGTGGGTGAGTCGGCGGCCATTGTCGATATCGATTGAAATCTCTCGCTGTATGTTGTCGCCCACCTGTCAAGGATATACATTTCCAATTTGGGAGCAGTCCAACTCAATATCTAGGACAATTAACCCCTTGAAGGACCCCTAAAAATGGCCGCTTCAAATCAAATGGCTTATTTGCTGTGGTTTTTATTTATTTAATTAGTTGCAGACTTGGCTTCGTCAGGCTTTTGGAGTCAACTCATGATAGATAGTAAATACCTAATTTCATGCTAGTAAGAAAAAATTGGTTTGGGGGGCTGCAATTCAAACAAAGAGCGAAGTTACTAGTTTCATGGGATGGGATTTGAAAATAATGAGTCTGTCAAAATGCTGGAATGGCCACTTCAACCCAACTACAATGCGTCAAGAATTTTGAAAATAGAGTGATGCGTTCTGGAGATGTTTAGATTTTTGTGTGAAAATTGGCCGACCTTCCGGGCATGGCTTCTTGAGATTTATTTTCCCTACACCCATGATTGACATGTCTTCCAAATTTTTGAAGAAGGAAGAGTATTTGGCAGGAAGCGACTAAATTCAACACCCTCCTGATGTGTGTCGAGGTCAAACCGTATAGCAAAACACGACACGGACCATCTGTTGTTCTCTTCAGACGCCGAGGATGAAGGCGAGCTGGAGCCGGCCAAGGAGCTGATCCGACCCATCGCCGAGAAGCTGATGACTAAGTACAAAGCCAAGGAGGAGGAGACGCCGCTGCTCTTCTTCGTGGCCGGAGAGGTGAGCAAAAGAAAACATCCTTTCCATCATGGGCTGAATGGCATTTAGCGCACATGTGCAAAGAAGTAGATTTGAGTGGTGGGAAGTAATCTGTAGATTCCAGTTTGTATTTCACTCAACAAACTGACAGGGGGGAGAAATGTGCTCTGTCTGCAGCCCATCACCATGTTGGCCTAAAAGTCTTGGTGTGAATACATCCTAAAAATGAATCCTTCATAAGCCAAATCAGATATTTTACATCCTCGAAGCCTTCAGTTTAATTTCCTGCCTTTACCTCTGTCGCCTGTGAAATCAGCAAGTTTCATTTTCACATCCTGATTGCGCTCACATCTCACTTCCTGTCTGAGGACGTTCAGAATACACGTGGCTCACACTCGTATACACACACACACGTACGTACACACTTAATCAGTGTCAAGCAAACTGTTGGGATTCAGTGGACAATGTGCTGCCCCCTCTGCACCTCAGAAAGCCCAGCAATATTAATCATTCCCCACAGAGGATAAAGAATATATGCCATGTGAGTCATAATATTATCTGGCGACTTGTTGCGCCACTATTTGTGTTCAAATATTCATTGCTTACAGGGTTATAACGCCATGACACTGTACTTATATTGGAGTTGGACGAACAGCAAATGCCCTCGCTGGCACCCACAGGACATGACGGGCCCCTAATGTCTTCATTGTCTCCGCAGGACGACATGAGTGACTCTCTGCGTGATTACACAAATCTGCCAGAGGCAGCGCCGCTACTCACCATCCTCGACATGTCAGCACGGGCCAAATACGTGCGCGACGTAGAAGAGATCACGCCGGACGTGGTGGAGCAGTTTGTTGGCGACTTCCTGGCAGACAAGCTCAAACCCGAGCCCATCTGAAACGGGAGGTCTAAATACAGACAAGAACGGGACTCTTCACAATCATCATTAATGCACTCCTTCAGCGTCATCCTTCACTTTTTACTATTTTAACTTTTTTTTTACTCTCTCCATCTCCTGTGGTGCCTTGCATTGACTCTATCACCCCTACAGTTAATATATATATAAAGATTATTTTGTTTTTCCACATATGGCATTATTAAAATAGCATTTCTGGATTCTAGCGAAGCCCAGCGGACCTACTTGTCACTCACATCTTTTTCACGCCTGGACCATGGAACTTTGAAAACAAACAAAAAACAAACAAAAAAAAGAATAAAGTGAATGCAGAATTTTGTTTGAGATTGTGTTCAACTCTCCTGCACTGAATTTTTAAAGGGAATGAGTGGAGTCAATGATATTGTCTGTGAAACAAGCCGGCTGTGTTCACTCCTACAACAGCGCAAACGCCCCTTTGTACCTGAACCCGTCTATGAAAGGAGAAAAACTCCACCTCCGTGCCGTGTGTGAAGTGGATTCAAACAAGGTTTGAATGGTCAACAGAAGGCATTTTGGTGTTTTAAAGCAAAAATGATTACTAAAGCGTTTGAGATAAGAGACATTTAATTTGGAAGTTGAGTACACAGCACAATGCCTTAACATTATGAAACGTGTCGTCCTGCATTGGTCGTCCACTTCCTTCCAGAGTTTTGCATAGCTGTCAACAGTTGCTTCCTGCCCTCAAACAACAGGATGCTGGCCGCCATGGCTGAGTTCAAGCTGTCCATGTGGGGAACCATGGGAATGAACAGCCTGCGTCCCACTCTCTTTTCTGCCAGTTCCAGCGCCTCTACGCTAAGCCCGTGTGTCTCTCCGCCGACCACCAAGGCAACTGGTCTCCTCGCCCAGTCATCATGGTACGGCGCAGCGTCCACTCTGGGCAGGGAGAGCTCTTCTTCATCGGAGTCAGATTCCTCGAAGTGGACGTCACGGTGAGTATGTGTCGTGCTGATCCAGCCAAAATCGCTGGGTTTGTGAGAGGAGTTCACTTCCTGGTTTTGTTGGCTGTCAGCCACATGAACACAGACGTGCTCGGGGAGATGATGCTCCACCTCCTCCCACTTCAAACTAGAATGAATGGGAAGGTGGAAGTGGGCGCCCATCGCTGCTCGCAGAACTTTGGGCTCCCACATGTCAACGCAGCCTGGAGATGGCGGGAAACCATTATTTCATAGAACAATTAAAATGTTCATACCTCTAGTATTACCTTTAGTGAGCAGTACTTGGTGGCAGCCGGAGGCGGCAGCGCATCTCAGTATGGTGCCCAAGTTGCCAGGGTCTCTGATATTGTCGCATATGAGTGATAGAGGCACAGAGTGTTTGCTGGCAGCAAAGCTCAGTCGAGATGCGTCAGGACGAGAAAATATACCTGCGCATACATACAAAACTAAATCAATAACAATACAAAACGTAGTATTAGAGTCACATTGGGGAAAAAAACAAGTTCATATTGTTTGTAGAGTTACCGTAACTTTTTTTTTTTTTTACAAGTTGTTTTAAAAAAAAAGTTTAATTTTGTGATGACTATTTTCTCTGAAAAATTACTTCATTTTCATCACTTTTACAAAAATAAGTGTTTATGGCAATGCAGTATTTTTTTCACAAGTCTTGGGGAAATGACTCAATTTAAAGATTGACTTTTTTGTCTAAGCTTTTTGTAATCTAAAAGAATATGTTCTTATTTTTTGGAGGGGGCGGGTGCAAACTTGGGTTTGTAATCTAATGAGAATTCCGTCTGAGATTAACCCTGTAACATTTACCGTAAAAGCCACTCTCACCTATGACTCCCTGCGGAGCCACCATGTCAGACCACAATTTGATGTCTTCAAACTTGACTTTCAACAGCGTGGCCCTCTTTAGCTTGTCCAAAGGAAGTTCCCGTAAGCGCTCGAGGGTGCTGAAGAAGATGGTTTGAGGAACAGCGCCCGCGTTCAAAGCGTCGCATATCAGACGACGACCCTCCAGCAGGACCTTGCCTTGGTGCTCCCGAAACGTTCTGGAACGGGCCACGCTCACCAACCTCCTGCAAGGCAAACGACATGACTCTGGTCTTAATAGTTCTATAAGGCATTACCGTAATCATTTTTATTTGAATTATATATTTTATTAAATCAGGCTGTCTCAAATACAAATGTTAGAAAATGGTAACTGCTTTTCCTATTATGCATGTATATGCCCACCAAAGAACTAGGTCTGCAACGTAAATTCCAGTACCTGTGAAAATATTTTAATGAGGGTTTTTTTTACACGTTTTTGCCGTTGTTTTACACATAGACTTTACACATAAAACATTCCCAATGTATCAATTGTGCATAAACTTTTGCTTTTTAATTCCATTAAAACGAAATAACAGAAAAACAAAAATTCGATGGATTGAACTCTTCTGAAAATAAAAATCTAACTTAATTTTGACATCATATTGTAATAATACCGAGAGCTATTTTGTATGTTATGAACCATTTGTCAGAAAAATCACAAGCAAGCCGAGAGAGGCAGTGGGGGTGTGCGAACAACACTCACGCCAGGCTCTTATCCCCAGGTGAAGCCCTCTCAAAGCGGATTCCATCAAGTTGATCACTTTTTCCACCCACATGAGCCTTTTTTGGCGGTGATATCTCGCCATTCCTGCGCTTCACACCACCTCTGTCTCCAAGGTTCTGCTCTGCTCTCAATGGAACTCTTACCACCTTTTTTTCCTCCGAAATTGGCAGCTTTACGTCTCCTCTATTTGGTTCATTTTCTGGAAATATCACCCTGACCGGCCTCCTTCTCAGTCCGCGCACGTATCGTTTAGTTTCCACGCTGAAGATATTACCCCGTGGAGAGAAAACAGCTCGTTCCAAGGAGAATAGGCAACTCATGTAGGTAGCCATGTTTCCTTGTCTTCTTCTCTTTTCGAATGTTATCACTGCCAGCCTATAGCGCCATCTTAAGTCTGGCAAGAGTTTTACGTACTACTGTATTCGACATATCTACTGTTTTTATTACCGATTTGCTTTACTGTTTGTTGTATATGTTAATTTGCTCCATGTACAGCACTTTGTATGCAGCGATGGCTGTTTGAAAGTACTCTATAAATACATTTGAGTTGAGTTGAGTTGAGTTGAGACATCATTGTGAGTACGATGTAATATTTGATCATAACCCCTCTTTTCTCTACTTTACAGCGCCCTCTACCTGTTTTGTATGGATAACTGAAGTATCGCGAGAGCTTGACATTTTAACCGAAACGAGCCTACGTTTCTGCTGTATTTTATAAAAATTATGTCATTTAGTAGTGATCTAATGCTATTTTACTATACAACAGTTTCTCTCGATCCAACATGTACTATTATTACCTGTTGTCACTAAGAAAATGTCGTGTTGGCGCTTTGCTTGCAGCTAATAGAAGGCAGAGAAATCGATCAAGGCGGAAGTTCAGTCTCAATCACATGACACAGATAATCATAATAAAAAACAAACAACGACAACGTCTTTCGAAAAACATGAGACGAGCGCTACATTTCGTTTTTAAAGTTGGCGACCGAGCCAAAACGGCAACATTTTACCGAGATGTTTTGGGAATGAAGGTGGGTTTTTTTCCTTATTTTTTATCATCCCCAATTAATGTGGACAATGGACGTGTTTCACAACTAAGTGTCCTCAAATGTGAATTGCAGGTTTTGCGTCACGAGGAGTTTGTCGAAGGCTGCAAGGCAACATGTAATGGGTGAGTTACACCCTTAACTTTGTGCACGTTATAAAGTTTTAAAATTAAACTCTTCACACAGTCCATACGATGGCAAATGGAGCAAGACTATGGTTGGTTTTGGTCCAGAGGACAATCATTTTGTTGCTGAGCTGACCTACAATTATGGGGTAGCTGAGTATCAACTTGGAAATGATTTTTTGGTAGGTTTGAAGACATCTTTGGAGTAATCGGGCTGAAGTGACTATCGAGTCGAGATTTGTTGTTGTTGTTGTTGTTATGACCGCTGGCAATTTGTTTTGAAGGGGCTCACCATTCAGTCAAGCCAGGCCGTCAGCAATGCCAAACGTTTGGGCTGGCCCCTCACTCAAGTTGGGGACAGCTTTTACCTGACACAGGCTCCAGGAGGGTATTCCTTCTACCTGGTAGACAAAGAACAGCCCTCCACAGGTGAGTGTCAAAGGTTTCTTTTGTGTCAGGGAGTCTTTTCTTCTTTTTCTTTCCATTGTTGCTATGATGATTTCTTTACTCCAGATCCTGTGCAGAAGGTTTGCCTTGGAGTATCGGATCTCCCAAAGTCCACTCATTACTGGTCAAAATTGTTGGGAATGACGGTTATTGAAAAGGATGATGACAAGAAAACAGTGCTGCTGGGATTTGGAGAGACACAGGTAACTCGTGTGTTTGAGGAGATCACAGATTAATTTGTTTTGTTTTCTAGAATAACGTTTTTTAAAGACATATTGTAAGAATAAGGTTGTAAATTTTCCAGATTCAAGTAATATTTTTCAAAGGAATAAACATAATATTGCAATCAAATATGAACTTTTTGAGCATATACCATAGTCATTTTTAAAGAAAAAGGCATAGTATTAAGAAAATTTGGTTTTTTAATAGCCATATTCATTCGTCGGGAAAATTTGTGTATTATTAAGGGAATAAAGTTGAGGAAAAGAAGCATTTAAGACAAGAAATTGGCATATTAGATTAGTCATTATTATTTCATAATATTCCAGAAACAACAGTAATGCTATATACTATGAAAATATCAAAGTCAAATTCTATCAAACATATACCGATAGTCTTTTTGTGTGAATACAGTATAACTAAAATAAATTTTAACAGGTGACGGAAATTCACTTTCAATATAAGACTTTTTTTATTTTCTCTGAATTTGAACTTTAATCTCAAAAGACTCCAACATTAATTGCCATCCATATATGTTTGTGTGTATAGTGTAAACTGGAGCTACAAGACATCAATGGGACTGTAAACCATGGAACAGCATTTGGAAGGATTGCCTTTTCATGCCCTCGGGATCAAGTAACATATACATTTTTTATTGGTATTATTTAATGTGTGAGTGACTTATGAATTAAAGGCTTTTTGTTGCGTAGCGGCTCACTTCAGTGGACAGGTATTCAAAACCTTTTCTCATCTTTTTGCATGAGACTTGTCAAAGTTGTGAATTGGTCATTACAGTAGGCACGAGTGTGTCTGGCCAAATTCTATTCAGTGGGATCATGACTTCCTTCAATATTAATTTGACGCCGATTTCCATAGCTTCCTGACCTGGAGGCCTTGATGAAAAAGGAGAATCAGAAAATTCTCACACCCTTAGTGAGCTTGGATACGCCAGGAAAAGCCACTGTCGAGGTGGTGATTCTAGCTGACCCAGTAAGTATTTTAGAAAAATACACATAATTAACTCTAAAAAATATATATTCAGTGGTAACTTCATTTACCCCGACTTACAAGTTTGTTGGTTATTTGAAAGTGTATAGTGTTTTTGTCCTGACTTACAAGTTTCTTGGGTGTGTTGTGGGTTTTTTTTTTGGGGGGGGGCAGTGAATATATTTTGGCAAATGTCTTTTTTTGTATACATGAGTCCTTAATGAGTCCTTAGATAGTGAGTGCTGAAAATAAGCGGTTAATGTCCATTGAATCAAATTGTTAAATCATACAAAGTTGAAAAACATAATGATGTCAAAGAATCTTGGATTAAAAAAAAAAAATTGACCTTTGGTTGTTTTTTTTCCCCCCTTTTAGGATGGTCATGAAATTTGCTTTGTGGGTGATGAAGCTTTTCGACAGCTTTCCATGGTGGACCCCAAAGGAAATGAGCTCCTTGATAAGGTCAGTGATTGTACTGCATTTCATTTGTAAGCGTTAGGACAAACAGTATCACAATGACGTAAAACATGTTGCAGTGACCACAGACCCCTAACTTAACGCTTCTAACCATTCCACCACAAACAAGGCAAGTTTGCCTCAATAACTGCTGAAAGAGAAGAAAAACACTTGTGAAAATATTGTCATTGAATGACACTAAAATATTTATCACACTGTTATGACCTGTATTGCAACAGACATTTTTGCCCAGAATGAAGTGCCCTAATAAGTGTGGAAAAAAATACATATAATGCTTACAGTCTTCTTTTTCTTCTTTTTCAGGGAATGGCTGATGACAAAAGCAACGAGTGGTTTGCCAAGCACAACAGACTGAAAGCTGCTGCATGAATTGAACGACGCAGTCTGGAAAAACTCAACTTTCACAGCACTTTAATACAAAGTCTGATCATAAGGTCCCTACACTTTCAATTGTGTAGCACTTAAGGACAAAACTCTTCATTTTTATGTCATGCTATGCTATGAAATTAGATGGACAACTACAAAAGTGAAGGATGTGGGTCTAAAATACAACATACATTGCACTGAGTTTGGAATATACTGTTCTTATTGTATTGTACAAATCCACTAATACAATACACAATACATCCTGATTTATATCGCGCTTTCACAACAGCTGCAGCTGTAACAAAGTGCTTTACAAAACAGTCAACATAAAGTAAAATAATAAACACAACAATAAATCATATTGTTACATTTGTTTGATTTGTAATAATAGAAAGCAATGATTTGGCACCACGTTTCCTGTGTTACAAGGGTCATTCCAGAATTGGAGGCCATTTTACACTCACACACACACACACACGCACGCACGCATACACACAACCAAATTATTCGTATTATTCTACAGTATATTGTTTTTCTATACTGTATCACGTAACAGCAGCAGTGGAAGCCATGGAGCTCCCTGAGGTGAGGTTTTTTTTTCCCCTCCATGTCACCTTCGGGCACAGGTGTCAAACGCAAGACCCGGGGGCCAGATCTGGCCTGTCACATCATTTGATGTGGTCCGCGAAAGCAAATCAAATACAGTATGTTGACTTCCATGATGATTGCTAAAGTTTTTAACAAAATTTCAAATTCTCGTATGTAATATAAGAGAGCTAGTGTAAGTTTTCTTTTTACTAAAACCCTCATTACAGTAACTTAAACTATAGTTGAATAAACCATTATTATTGACTTCCTTTTGTGGTTTCACAGTCATAACGGCCCTCCAAGGGAACCGGTAACTATAATCTGGCCCGCGACAAAAAGGAGTTTGATACTCCTGCCTTAGGGGCTCCGTCTGTAGCTCATGATGATGGTGGAATAGTTGCCAAATACCAGATATTCAAGTCAAATTTATTTATGTTGCCCCAAATCACAAAAGGTCTAAGGTCTTCGCATGCCCACACCTGACAAATATGATCGACACCTCTGATCTTAACCCCCAGGAGGGCAAGGAAAACATCTAGACTAAATGAGAACTCTTGAGAAAGGGCTGCTGATGGGAGAATCCCCCTTCCAGGGTGGCAAAGCTGCAATGGATGCCGACTTGAGTTGATCACGGAGATGACGACTCATGTCATTGCGACTTGGATTCGAATCACAGTTTTGAAGACTTGTGACTTGACAAAAACTCATTACTGAACTGCATTCATTAAGTAACTTGGTTTCCCAATGGACTTGATTTGATTTGACACGAGTTAACCCGTAACTTGACTAGCTTGAAGACCCGAAACTTTTAGTTGAGACTTGCACATTTGCGACTTGATTCCCATATGCGTCAACTAATTGTTCAAATCTATAAGACATTTAGAAACGATTAGCAATTCATTTTTTATAATTCCAATTATTGATCACCAAACCAACCTTAACTTCTAAATTTGTGAAAGCTGTATTTTTGTGTCAAGACAATTATTAGTCATTTCGATGAAGGGAAAGTACATGTTAAGTTACAAATACACTACTGTATATATAATTGTATGCTCCACAACGTCTCCTCTTCTGGAGCCGAGAGGGGCGGAGTGTTGACGCTCGCTGCGGGCTAAAATGTCAGCTGTCACCGCTCCGCTTTGCGGTGCCACAGGTAGCCCCTTGACGCCGTAAAAATGCCAGGCTAGGTGAGTTTGTAAACTTTGGACGGATAAATCAAAGACAGCCTCTATACACTGAAAGAAAGTTGATTCCTCTCTCCTAGTGGAAGCTAACAGCATTAGCCATAGCATTAGCCTGCTAGCACAGATTTACTGCAGATTTTTTTTTTTTACACTTTGATGACGAGGCGCTCCAGTTTTGGCGTAACTAAACCCTTACGTTATTATCTGACTAACTAATATACACTGTCATCTTTCACATGCACGTTAGAATTTTTCGCGAATTGTTAGCTTGATGCTATTCTGCGTTGCACTGTTTTTGTACACACTCAATTATTCACTTCTGTCAGAAAGTAGTAGTTTGCAGGGTTAATAAGTAAGCACATATTTCGTCTGACAATTTAATCCGTAACTGCGTGCGTGTGTTTTTGCGTCATACCTTTCTTAATATATTGAAAGTAAGAGATGTTAAGTTAAGAGTACCGTTATGTCTCTCTTTCCATGACAGAATCTGGGAAAATAGCTCCATGTCTACACAGCTTGAGACGTCATGTCTTTCCTGCTCATTACCTTCCTCATAATCCTGTTTCTTGCCATTGTCTTGTCATGCATCATATTCCGGTAAGTGTTCAATTTAGGAGCATCCAACTAACTGGCTGTCATGGTTGTAATTGTGTCTTACTTCCCCTTCCCATCTAAGATGGCTGGTCAACACTCTGGCAGTGCGACTCTTCCAGACAAAGCTGAATGCAGACTTGACGATCAAATCAGTGGGGCTGTTCTCAGTCAAAGGAGTCAGTATCCACTTTCACCCACTGCACACTGTGGTAAGTGACACACTGTCTACGTGGAACATAACTGCAGCCACTCTCATGTCCCTCAAAATATAAGTACAGGGAACACCAGCACAATGTGGCCCTAAAATTGACACATTGTGTTCGTGGAACATAACGGCAGCCGTTCCTATGTTCCTCAAATGATAAGTACAGGTTACACCTGCACATGTGTTCCTAACAGTTATTCCTTCATGACAGGAAATTGACCGAATATGGATTTCAAGCAAACTTGTGAACCAGAATTTACCGTGAGTAAACAAATTCTGCATTTTGACTGAATATATTGACATGTTGTGGTTCTTTCGGCATACTCACACTCGGCCAATCCTTCCTTGTGTTATTATTGATAACAGGCACCATACACAATAGAAATAAATTGAATGACTACAAATCATTCAGAGAGTTAAATAAAACTCCACAGCATGCACGGGCACATGAGCTTGTGCAATGCATTTTTCATGTGATTAACGTGATAGCCCCTCTGAGAAGTTATTCATCAGAACCTCATCATTGCGCAATAGCGACGCTACGCTTCAACCACACTCACAGGCACATGCCCGAACACAACATACTGTGCAGTTACTATGATGAGTTTAACAGTTTTTCATGATAACTGCAACTTTGCGCAATAGAAATGGATAGAAGCACTATAAGTCATCTAGAGTCAAAAAAGTTGCAATAATGTATCGATTGGTCACCTGCATGTCCTCAATGTACCTGTATTTGGCCTATGATTGTTCCTCTCACCAGTTAAACAGAATATAAATTGGTAAAATAATATCTAAAGTACAAGCATTTGTGTATTTTGGAGTGTGTGTTCGTGATGCTTTTTTTTGTTTGTTTTTTAAGTAAATACTTGGCATTATGCGTGGGCGAGACAAGAGTTCGCTTTGACCTTCAAGTGCCTCTCGGGCCACTGACGAAGAGGACGAGCCATGGGAAGAAAACGAGAAAGGTTTCCATCAGTGCTACAACACTTCGCTTCCTATCACAAGTATGTATCAGAATACAATAGAACCCATCCATCCATGACAGAGGATTCCATCCATGCACTCATAAAGTTTGAATGTTTTCGCACAGGATTACATCGATGTACACGTATAACACTTTGAATCAAATGCTTTCATAAACAACAGAGTTATTCATTGATTATCACACCTACTTTTTTTGCAAATCCGATAGAGAAAACAGGTCTTCGAAGTGCTTGTAACAAAGAATGCTTGTCGACACCGGTGTCAAATTGTGCGAGAACGAAACTGTATCATTACAATATTTTGGTCCACTTATGTGCCCTATTATTTTCTTTTGGCCACTCAAATAACTGTTTGTTTGTCTGAATGTGAGCAGTGCATTGCAACACAGCGCCGAGGCATTTCACCGAATGATTCGATAACAATGGCAAAGAGCACTTAACAGGTCAATCAACAATGCATTACAATGCCTGACTGGTGACTCGGCATTCTGTAAATGATGTCACTCGCCGGAGATTGCCAAACAAAAGCGTTTTTGTTGTTAAGCGCGTTGCCATGGGTCTATGGGTTGTGTTAAAAAAAAATTAACGAAAATATGCTTGAAATAATTTTATCCCCAAATATGACTGAAAAGATGGTTGGCCAAGTTTACTCCACGCTTGACCTTTAAGTTCAAGGTCGTACTGTAGTGCATTTTAAGTTCAGCTTGTAATTTCACCTGAATGTGTGCAATTTTAATAAATACCATGCATATGAGTTAAGTGGCTCAAAAAAGCAACTCACTTTCCACACTGTTCTTGCAGCTGTTGTCGTTTCACATCAGCTCGGTCAATGTGATGGTTCTTAACATGGCACTCTCCGAGTCGCTGTGGCACATGACCGTCACGTGCATCACGTTGCTGCTAGACCCCCACAGTAAGAGGTATAACTAACTGCTTTCTGGGCACACAGTTGTCTTAATTACTTTTTGTGAACCAACATGTTGCTCATTACAGGCTTTCGTGGGACTTTTCAGTGGGACAATTAAGCAGCAAAGTTCTCAAAAGCAGCCAGCTGGTGAGTTTCCCAGTACAGGCTGAATTCTAAATCAGCATGACTAATGTGGTCTCCATTTTGCAGGACATTTGTCTGGCAGAGGTGGCATTCAACCTGCTGCTGTCGGGCGATGTGACTCTCCCTGAGATGAGACCTGGCTTGCTGTCGCTCCGTGTCGGAACACTCCTGGCTGAGCTGCATGAGGGCCTCTTCCTCAGCTCTGTGCTGGTGACGAATGAAGACCCGTCTGGTGAGCAAATGCAAGGTAAGTTATTAGTTATTCCACTGAACGAATTAGGTTAATTGTAGGTGATTTCTATTACGTAAGGTGGCGGTTATTATGAATAACTGGTGATAGGAGCGATCATGTTTAAGCATTGCATAAGTACATTTTAACGTTTTTTTTTTTTTTTTTTGTGTTGTTCAGAGTGTATGGGCACAGAATTCATCCAAACAGAAGATGTTGAACAATTCCACAGCATCATCCCGCACAAGGCCAACATAGAGTTTGACAACACAAATGTCACCTTGTCCATGCACAGTCAGAAAAAGTGAGTCATGCTTTGATTTTGTATTCTGGCCAGAACCTGGTGTTCTTGACTCTTACCACCC